AATTTATGCATTAAGATTAGGGTAAAGAAAATTGCATTCGGGAGTAAAGAAAATCCCGCCTGCATAATAACGTTGAAACCCGCAAGCGGGATTCTGTGTTTTTTCTATTTCAAGGTTAGCTCGCATGCGGGTTAATGTTATATTTGAGCGCGAGAAGAAAAAATTGGTAATTAGGCTCTTTGGGCATTATAAGTAAATATTTAAATTAATGGCAGTTTTATTACATCAATATTATTGTATTATCATTATTATGATTATTGTATTATTTCTTATGCAAATATAACATTTAATTATTTAAATTTGATTTTATTTTTACAATTTATAAAATTTTTATCACTTATATAATATTTTTAAAACCCTAATACATCTAAATTTGATTTTATTTTTCAAATTTATAAGATTTTTATTTTAAAAAATGGGATACGGATAAGATATCCGGTTGGTTCGATTTGCATAGGTGCATATGAGAATATCCGAATACTCTTTAAACCCGCATGCGGGTTTAAGGAGATTATGGCAACTCTCTGACACACTAGTTACCCGTCCAACTTGTGTGTAACTAAAATATATTTAAATAATATATTTCATATTTTTGTTATTTAGAGTTTAACAAAACATTAATATTGGGTAGATTTGAGGGATATGCATAATTTTGCATATTTGTAGGAATATTAGAAAATGGAAATTTTGGGTAAATTCCCAAATTTTGGAGGTAAGGTGCAATCCAAGAACTAAAACAGTCATTTATAAAACCTTAACAGTCATTTATAAAATAGTCATTTCTAAAACCTTATCATCACTGCCTCACCAGTTGAACGAAAATTGCAGGTTTGTTCAGCTTCTATCTTCACGGCATTTCTTCTTATTTTTCTTTCGTTCTCTATCTTGGGTTCCTTCACCAACTTTCAGTGCAAAGTCAGCAACAATGTATTTCGGAAGATGGAAAGAGATGAGGAGCACCCATCTAGGCTTTATTGGGTACGTCAAATTGGTCAGGGGTAATATGGGTATGTTTCCTACTGCTACCAGAAGAACAGGCGCGTTTTGCCCACGAATCGTTACGGTGGGTGCTTTCCGTCTATTTGCCAGTTCAACCCAAACCACAGGGGGTTTATGTATAGCTTTTTGAACGATGGGGGGGTTATGTGGTTTTTTCGAAAACCACAGGGGGCTAAAATGTAATTTGCCCTATTTTATAATAACAAGTTGTAATTCATCGCAAACAATTTGTACAATTTTGTACTGAGGCGTAATACTTAATTACCTTTGATGTGAGTCCTTTACATCTCTTTTATTGTGCTTAATTGTTATTATCTTTTGAAACTAGTTGGGCTCATGGAGTATCTATTTGTGTGTGTGTGTGTGTGTTTTTGTTTTGCTATATATCTAGTTTTAGTTGCCTAGCTTTTTCTATAATTAGTTTTTTTTTTCTTTTCGTGTAAATTGGAGGTTTTGAATCCGGATCGCTAACTCATCCATCTCAGTATCATCCAACTCATCCACCTCCCCTCTATAATTAGCATTACTTGCTTTAAATTGGTAAAATTTTTAATAAACTTTTTTTAACCCTTCCACCCTTCCTCGTACTTAATGGTGCAAACAAGTAGAATTCAATCAAATAGATCGTGAGATTATTTGGTCAAAATTTGAGCTTCATTATTCGAGTTCGAGCAGTCCAAACTATTTGGCAAATTCGAGTTCAAACCTAATATATGAATTTTGAAAGCTCGTTGATCGATCGGGTGCGCGTTGCACGAGTTTGAATTTGAATTTGAATAAGACAAAATAAAATCAAACTTGAATTTAAGTTTTTTAACTTGAGTCGAATTCGAGTAGTTGAGCTCAAACAGCGTAACCTTATTTGCACTCTTTTCATCTCCAATTGGTAGGCGCAGGATCCGAAATTTCTAATCAACTTAAATATATATATATATATATATCAATAATATTATTGTTTTTTCCATAATACATATCATCTGTAGCAGGGCTAGATAGCAAACAGGTAGTTTCGGGCTCTTGGACCCATTTTCCCTCGGCATCCGCAGAATGTCTAATGTCCCTTACCACCTGGAAACTATTTGTCAAACTGAAGTTTTAACCATTCAAGCGATTTGAATATAACTTGTTTAAACTTTAGGGTTCATTTCATAGTTTGCCCAAAACTCTGAAGGGTTAAATGTCATTTTAATTATTAGCATTACACCAGTAGAATTTGATGAATTGAGAATGCGAGAGGTGCAAGACGATTGTCAATCACAATCATCTCAAATCATACGACGTCATTAATAAATTATAATTCGTCAAAAACAATTTCTAAAATTTTGTAATAAAAGTATTAAAGACGTACCACTTCCAATGAAAAGTTTACAATAGTGAACAACACAATTTTGAAACAATTACCACTTTAACAAGCATATAATGAGTTTGTTTGGATAAGAGTTTATTTGGATGATTTATTTGAGATATTTACTGTAGCACTTTTTGTGATGTGATGTATGTGAGATAAAAAGGTGATTGGGAAGATAAAAAGGTGATTGGGATTTGTGAAAACAAATTTTGCAAACCAAATTTGGCTTGTCCAAACAAACTCTAGAAGTAGAAAAAAGTGGACAAAAGCCACAAAGACTCCAAGTTTTGCCAATAAGACAAAAATTCCAATTGTACAGTTGAAATAAAACGTAATCCTAATAGTAATACAATGCAGTGTGCACACATATATACATATATATTAGAAAAGACAAAATAGTCAGTTAAATTAAGGAAAAATCGTTCAAAACGTCTTTCACATTTTGCAAAATAATTTTTTTTCGTACTTCACTTTTAAAAATCTAATTTTAAGTCCGTTTACAAATTTATATTGGTCAAATTTGATCCCTACCTAGGTTTTCGACTAGTTTTTAGTTGGATTACATCACGTGCCTTGTATGTGATCATTTTTTAGGGATAAAATTATCAAATTAAATTTCACGTAATCCGATTCATAGTCCCTCTCATTTCACAAATTCAATTTTTCTATCCATTATATTTTATAAAATGAATTTTTTCATTTCTCATTGATCATGTATACAAATAGTCTTTTTTTAATATATATATATATATATATATATATATATATATATATATATATTCATTTGATTTCACTTGAATAGTACAAATAACATGTAATATATCTCTATTATTTTTAAGTGTAAGCGGGAGGGTTCAAATTTGAGATCTTTCATTTACACCCCCTCCCCCATACTACCCAATCAGTTTGTTCAGGTGAAATCAAATAGAGATATATTACATGTTTTTTGTACTGTTTATATGAAATCAAATAAACATATATATGAATTTTCATAAATAAGAAAAAAAATTATTTGTACACATGTCAAAACCAATTTTTTCATCCCTCATTGATTATTTGTTCGAATAATTTTTTTTAAACCCATATATATATCTATTTGATTTCACCTGAACAGTATAAATAGCATGTAATATATCTCTATTTGATTTTACCTACAACTACAACTAGCTTGTTGAGGTAAAATCAAATAAAAATATATTATATGCTATTTGTATTGTTGAGGTAAAATCAAATAGACATATACATAGATTTTCAAGAACAAAAAAAAAAATTCCGCACACATGATCAATGAGGGACAAAAAATTTCTTTTTGTGAAATGTGAGAGATAAAAAAATTCATCTTATAAAATGTGAAGAATGAAAAAATTCATTTTGTAAAATATAAGAGACTGTGGATCAAATTATATGAAATATAATTTGACAATTTTACCCCTTAAAAATGATCATGTGCAAGGTACATGGTAGATTCCGACAAAAAATTAGTCGAAAACCTAAATAGGAATTAAATTTAACCAATGTAAATTTATAAAGGACGTAAAATAATATTTTTAAAAGTGAAGGATAAAAAAATTATTTTACAAAATATAAGAAACGTTTTGAACGATTTTTTCTTAAATTAATATAAGAGAAGAATTAGTTTCTTTTACGTTTTTAGATTTTTTTTTTACAAAATTGTAAAAGAAAAAACAAATAAATGAGTAAAGAAAAAAGAAAAAGGTAAAGAAGTTAGAGTACTTTTTAGCTTTTTCATTATTAACTCAATGGTAGTTAAACAAAAGAGTTAAGGGATAATTTCATAAACCTTGATGAGGTTTCTGACAATTTCATCTGTTATCTTTGAGATTTTCAATATTACACTTACCTCCCTTAATTTTATAAAATGACCATAATAACTTTAATATATTAATGTATTTCATGCAATTAAATAATATGCTCCTAATCTTGTGCATAGGAATGCACCGTACAATTAAATATTTAAGGAAAACAAAAACAAGGTTCACTTATAGAATAACTAATTATGTCCTAAACATAATTCTAATATATTACAAAATAATTTTAGCTTGGTTTGAAAGATCTAAAGATGAATAGAAGAAAATGTAAGTTGAAGATTTAAATATAGTGAGGCATGTATTGGTACTGTTGGATTTGGATTTTTTCCAAACAACCATTATTTTGTTAGATTTGGATTTTGGTGAGATAAAACCTAAGCCTAACATGTGCTCCAATATTTGAGAGATTGGATGTTATATTAATATAGTTAGTGAGATTTTTTAAGTTTAATAGTACTGATGGTGGCGGTGGTCACGATGATAATGGTACTAATTCAAGATGTAAGAATATAAAAGTTTTAAAATAGTAAAGATGAGTGTTAAAAGTGGGTTTGAAATTTTGTGTATATTCCATTTTTTTTTTAAAATTTCATAAGAAGATAAAATAAATTTCACAATTTTATGAGGGCAATTTGGGTTATTCATTCAAAATTTTGGCCATTGAATAGTTTTTGTTACCAAAATGATAAATTTGAGGAAGGTATGTGTAATTTTTAAAACCTCAAAGGAACTAAGTGAAATTATCAAAAACCTCAAGGGAGGTTTCTGAAATTATCCCAAGAGTTAAAGCTCTAGGCCCCCCCACGGCCCACCCCACTTCTGGGTTCCACACTCCCGACTCGAAACTCGAAGGTCCGAAAGCACTCGTTCCCTTCTTCCCCGTGTTCCCCTGTCCCCCCATCTCCTACTCCTCCTCCTCCGATCCCTTCTCATCACCGTAATCACATACACGCGCACACGCGCGCACACACTCACGCACTCAGGAGCGAAAACCTTTTAATCGTCACCGGTCTCCTGCCCCCCCCCCTCTCTCTCTATAATTTATAATTTATTGATTTAGAAGATACAATTTTATACCTTTATTTTACCTATACTATTTGTCTCGAAGAAAAAAAGTTTACCTAGATCGGAGTTTCTCGAAGATCCCAACGGATTTCACTCCGGTAAGCTTCTGCTTTTTGGCTCCGTGTTTGGGATTGAGTTTGTTTGTAGCATTTTTTGAAAGGTATTTTGTGAGTTTCGAAGTTTTTTTTTTCATTTTGGTTAAATGAAAGAAGAAGGAAAAGGTGAAAAAGGAGAAAACTTGTTTATGAGGATGTATTGCTGCAAAAGATGCAGGCTTTTTTCCTCGGTATGTTGTGTTTTTGGCTTGGAGGATGTTTGAATGTATTTTTAGTTTTTCTTTTCGGAGGTGGATTGTGGTATGGGGGTCTTTGATTTTAGGGTTTCAAGAGAAGTCTTTGTTAGCTAGGCTAAATAGTTGAATTTGCTGCCTTTTTGAAATTGTATAGTTACTGCTGAGTAGTTTTACGATTATGCAGTTTACGAACAAAGTTTTTTTTTTTTTTTTTGGTGGTTTGGGTACTGATTGAGATATTCTCCTTTATACTAACGGTATTCAAGAATTAAGCGGTGGATAATGTTGTGTTGCTGCAAGCATACGGCTTTTATAGTGCATTTTCTGCTTTTGGTTGGAGTTATGGGTAGCTTTGTATACTATATCTTGGTATTTTTTGCGGGTAGGATTTTGATATATTTCGTAGGGGTGGAGTTCTTTTGGATGGCTACTCTTTAGGGGTTTTGGGAGGGGCTGTTGAGAGGCGCTTAAGAAGTTAAAACTGTTTTTTGTATTTTGAGTGTTATAGTTGTTGTAAGTGGGTATGTGGTTATGCAAAACAGTCATTTTATATTAATTCTATGTAGTCCTTTTGTAGTTCAGAAATTTGATGTTAGGGATCATGTGAAGCAATTGAGATATTTCTATTCTTTTTACTGGACGAAAGGATAAACCCTGTCTATGATGCTGTATCCTTGCTAAGTTTGACCGTATTTTGTTTGATAGGTGGAATATGCATGTTTTTGTTGATGACAATTACCGTTTATGATGCTGTGTCCTTGAAAAGTTTGAGGCTTTGTTTGATAGGTGGAATATGTATGTTTTTGTTTTCTTCTGTTGGGTTGTTTTAATATGGTTAAGATGGACAAGCTTCTGATTTTTAAGGTTTGGAGAGGATTCTATGCAGGTTGTTAAGTAGTTAAACTTGTTGAGATCCCGATTACAGTCATCCAAGCATTGGTTTAGGATTGTATTGATGTATCCTATTTTCATGTAGGAATTGAGAAATTTTTTTTTTAAGGATATGCTGAATACGCAATGTCTTATTATATTAGAAAGCGTTCTTTTTGTGCATATTGTGATTTTGGTTGGAGGTAGACAGATGAATGTAATTATGGATTCTCTGGGTTTATTTTCACATATTTAGTATGGGTAGGACTTGCTTTGTGTATCAGATTTAGGCTTGAGAGTGTCATGGACAAGTAGTTAAATTGACTGACATTTTGAGGATCATATTTATTCTAAGCTCTCGAGGATCAGTTGGTGTTTGCTAGTTATGAAGCATTTTTAAGGAAAAGACTATTCTTGCTGTGTATGCCTTCAGGTCTTTGGGGTTGCAGCGCTTTATTGCTTAAAAAAAAGGGGCGTTTGGCATTTTTACCTTTTTTGGTGCTGGTTGGGCATGTGTGAATTGATAGTGCAGTGACTTGAAAGCTGTTAGTATTTCTTTTTACTTTTGCTTTATTGATAGAGAGGAATGGGAGTCATGTTCGAGGGATTGATTCCACTGTACTTGTTGGGGTTACTTGGGCATAATTTTTTTAAATTTTTTTTGTCTAAGTACATGTATTAACATGTACAGAGGTTGAAATGTTGTTTTTGTTTTTATAGGTTTTCTGATTTTGTTTCTCGTTGAAAATTGTCTTTACTGACATTTAAAGGTTTCTATTTCTAGTAAAGTAACTCTGGTGGCCTTTGTGAATCAAGGAGGGTTTATAATGAATAGAAAGGATTTGATTGAGGGTTCCCACTAAAACTGCTTTCAAAGGTTGTCATGAACACGATTTTCATGACTTTCTTGCTTGCAAGTATTAAAGGATTGCATTGCCCTGTCTTTTTTCTCCTTTTATATTTGTAAAGGAGATGGTTTGGAACAGTATGGAGAAGGAAAAGGTTCTTTGAAATGTTTGGCAGGGGTGCATGGGCGTATATTGGGCAAATCATTTTGGCACAAATTACTTATTGGTTACCTGAAATTTTGTGCTTTTTGCTTGGAACAAGCTTCATGAAAAATGGACCACTCTCAAACAGACTCTAAGCTTTCTATGTTGTGTTGTTTTGGTTCCAGAGTGCATGTACTTTTGTAATCCTGGAACTGTACAATAAAGGCAGAATAGAACTTTCATGCACGATAATTTTAATTGGTTTTGCTTTTGGTCTGTCTGTAATTGTTAAACTTTTGTGTGTAACCTCTGATGATTTCTCTTTGCATTTTCACCCAGACCACGACAAGGTCATCTGAATGATCTGGGGATGTTATTTCGAAGATGACGTCAAATATATTAGCAGGAGAACGAAGGTAGAGATTCTTTTTATTTTTCGCTGTAAGATTCAATGCTAATACGTTTGTATGGTTGGATCCGATTACTACATATAGTCTAAGTTGTGCTGTCTCAAGAAGGCAAAGGCTCGTAAGACACATTATTCATATCTGCAAGTAGGGGATATAGCTGTGGGTTCTATATAACAATAAGCTGCTGAAGAAGGTAGAGATATGGTCAATTTTTTTGAAAACTGTTTCTCTGTGCAAGCTCATCAAAGACCTTCAACATGTGCTTCATACCTTATTTTATCTTCTAAGCTAGAGCTAAGTTAATTGGGTAGCTTGTTCTTGCTATATGTATGTGAGGTGAGACACCTTTTTTCCATTTAAATACTGTAGTCTTACTCGCATTATTTTCTATTTTTGCATTACCTCATAAGGTCCATCTCACATTTACTGTCATTTGTTGGGAATTTTTACTGTTTATGAAGATGTGTAATCCTATGTCTACATGAGGCAGCTTTTGTTAGAATTACCAATGTGTCCCTTTGATTTCCATCATGAACTTGCTAGGAATGCATTGGGCGTGGTAAAGGAATACTTTAGGTAATTGTGGGTACAAATGCTGAGGTCTGCATCTTTTATATCTGGTTATGGCTATAAAAGAGCCATGTGATTTTGGTTAATATTGCCAAATAGTTGCAAAAGTGCTCTTAAAGGGAATAGAAACACATTGTGTTTGAATAACTCAATAAAGTTGCTGGTGCGTTTCATTTTTCTGCAATTGCACTTCTGTTTTTGTCCACTTCGGTGACAATGGGTCCAAAATGGTATACACGTCTTTCAAACTAAAAGAAATGGATTACCAGCATAACAAATGTATGGATATGGTCCTCCTTAGGTTGGCATAACAGATGGTGTATTGGGTGTGATTTTGCTTCATTTTATAAGAAAACGATGTACTTTGAAAATCAAAGAAATGGATTATTGATGCAACTATGTTTGAGGCACAAGAGATGCTGCGTTGCTTCCTTTCGAATACGTAGTTTGATGGTGATTTTGTGTATGTAGTTCGGGCACACACCCATTTGTTGTGTATGTAGTTCATTTATGTAGTTTCATTCTTAATGGATAAAATTAGTTTGTGTTTTGTGTTTCCAATTCCTCTTTCCCCTGGGTGCATGGCAGATTTCATTGCAGTACTAAGTTGATGAGGGGAGTTTAAGTGTCCACAAGTCTCATGGAGAGAGATTGTAGTTTTTTCCTTTCTCAGAGTACAAGTAACCCACAAAAATGGGATCAATGCAAATTGGTTATAACCAATCAAGTGATTAACACCACAACCAACCAACCCACAAATAGTGGTATGATAACTAACATAAAGTTGGGCAATGCTCACATTTAATGAGGCTCGAACCCAGACCTCTAACTCGTTCCACTAGATCAAGGCGGCATCGGAAGATTGTTGTTTTCTTGTCACCTTCCTTCTGTTATCTTTCACTTGTCTATTTTTTACACTTGGGGGGTAGACTCTGGTGCTGTTTAGGGTATTGGCTTTCATCAGACTGGGAGTTTCAGTTCTATTTGTGTCATTAGAGTTTTGTTTATATATTTGCGTTGTAGTTGGCATCTTGCCCTTTTAGATGCATGTGCATCTCTGGGAGCTGATTGGTGCTATTGGTTATGATGTTTGACATATTTTGTATCTTCTTGATGGGGATCTACAATTGGATATAATGATATTGTTGCAGATGGGCTTCTGCAAGACGAACTGGAATGACTGTGTTAGGGAAAGTTTCTGTTCCAAAGCCTTTGAATTTACCCAGCCAAAGGTATTGTTTTTCGCTTGAGTTAATCTTTTCTTCTTTGGTGTTTACTAGGGTTACTTTCTGAATCTTTTTTTGAATGATGTTTCAAGGTTAGAAAATCATGGCCTGGATCCCAATGTGGAAATTGTTCCCAAGTGAGTAAAAACTTCCTTCCTTCCTTCCTTCCTTCCTTCCTTCCTTCCTTCCTTCCTTCCTTCCTTCCTTCCTTCTTTCTTCTTCTTCTTCTTCTCTCTCTAAAATAAACACGTCCACCTGTCAGCTTGCTTGATGTGCTGCTCTTACGGTTGATTGATACCCATTCTTTGTATGTTTATTATTTGGGCTGTAAGTTTTAATTGAGTTCATTGGGTTTTCGGGCCTCATAGGGGTAGTCTTGGTTGGGGAAGCCGCCCTTCATCATCTGCTTCCAATCCATGGGGTTCCACAACACAGTCTTCAAATGCTGATGGTAGTGTCAGTTCACCAAGCCAGCTGAGTGGGCGTCCATCATCTGCTGGAAGTGGTAGTCGACCATCAACTGCTGGTAGTGATAGAACATATGAGCGCACTGCTAATGCATGGGGTCCAAGTTCTAGGCCTTCATCAGCTTCTGGAGTATTGGCATCAAACCAAACATCAACCTCGTTGCGGCCACAGAGTGCTGAAACAAGACCTAGTAGCTCACAACTGTCACGGTTTGCAGAACCTGTATCTGATAGTTCAGGTCTGCGGGGTCCAAGTGGTACTGCAGAAAGAGTGGTATGTCTCTATTGTCCGATATGCTTGATTTCCTGGGTTTAGATTAGTTAACCTCTGCGCCTCCTCCCTTGTCCCTTAATTTGTTCTTAGAGTCTACTTTATTGTGTTGATCTTCTATTTGTATCTCTTCCTTTTTGAGGATTTTTATCATGCTGATTCGCCTTGTGCATCTGACAGGGGGTTGCTTCCTCCGAGAATGACAGGTTCTCGCTGAGTACTGGGGATTTTCCAACACTAAATTCAAGTAGAGATGGTTCTGCGAAGAATTCTGAGCCACGAGGTAATTGGTTGTTTGCCATTAGGAATTTTTAATACGTTGCTATTTGCTGATGCGTCCATTACAGATTGCCCTTAGAGATTGCCCTTAGGAGTATCTATTTTACAGTATTTCATGTGTGCAGATCACGGTTTTTTAGTGATTTTTAATTGCAAATGTACTCAAGAAGTTTTTGTTGTCCTTATAGATGATGCGTTTTTCTTGCATCTCCTGTCAATAGAGCACTTTTTTTTGGGGGGGGGGGTGGGTGTGGAGCAGGAGAGTGGAAAATCATAGAAATAGGTGGAAGAAGAGAGAATTAAGGAAGAGAAGCAGGGAGCACCTAGTATGACTTGGGTCTAAGAAAAATTGCGTACATATGTTGAACTTTTCATTGTTCACCTTCATTGTAAATTAAAAAATAAAGGTATTAATAGGCTGTATATCTTACTCAACCTCAAAGAACTCAGCTTAGTACTGGAATTCCAGAGCTTATGTGCAAATATTTTCACTGTTGAGCACAAGAATGGGCCTTCGCCTCTTTCAAGATTTTGAAATGGGATATCATCTGCACATACGGTTTTTGTATGGTGAAGCTTTTTGTTTTTGGATTATTATTTCATTTTTTTCCCACTAAACAATGTTCTCACATGCTTATGCTTGACTTCGAATTTCTATTCCTTGACTGGATTTTTTAAAAGTTGCAAAAGAAGGAAAAACAATTGTTTTGAATGTCTGAAATTTTGATTAGGAACAGAGTGAACTCAATTTGGGGCTAAGGGCTTATTTGTTCCCTTTGCAGTTAAAATCAGATTTTATACTTGATCATTGTGTGTGTGTGTAGATTTTATTTGTGATCTTTTATCTTGTTCTCTTGCATAAGTGTCCTAGTCATTTCTCTAAAACCTCTTCCATTCAGGAACTTTTTTTTCTTGTGGCAACTGTTAGTTTTATCCAACTTGATTAGTGCTTGAGGTTTTGATTGCTTCGTTAACAATCAATGGCAGATCAGGGTTCTCATAGCCGTCCTAGTTCAGCTTCTGGCACCCAGAGAAAAGAGAAGATAGAAGAATCTCAAGCTGGCCAGGGTCTGTGAATGTGCTTTTTAGCTTTTCTGGTCATTATTGAACTACCATCTAGGTCATAGAATTTTATGCAATATATAATGTAATTTATTGTGATTCTTCTCTGATCCAGATATCATGAGCGGAACAGTTAATGCGTGGAACAGAGATGGTCCCCGAAGTGCAGATGATGGGATGCAGCCTAGCCAAGTGAAGTGGCATGGGGAGCCTCAACAATATGTCAATTCCAATATTCCCCCACCACAGTTTGATGCATGGCGTGGCCCTCCCATGAATGCACCAGCTGGTGTTTGGTATAGAGGTCCTCCTGCGGGGCCACCTTATGGAGCCCCTGTTGCACCTGGTGGCTTCCCCATTGAGCCATTCCCTTACTACTGTCCGCAAATTCCGCCTCCAGCTTTACCAAATTCACAGCCAGTTCCTCTGCCAGGGGCTGGTCCCAGGGGACACCATCCAAAAAATGGGGAGCTATACAGGCCTCAGATGCCTGAAGCTTTTGTACGTCCAGGAATGCCATTTAGGCCAGGTTTTTATCCTGGTCCAATGCATTTTGAGGGCTATTATGGGCCACCAATGGGTTATTGCAATTCCAATGAACGGGAACTACCATTTAAGGGCATGGGTGGCCCATCTGCTTATAATAGACATTCTCCTGATTCTGGCCATTCTCATGCCAGAGCTGGTAGGACTGGTTCTACGGGCAAAATGTTATCAGAGCACGTAGAAACAGCTCATTCTGGTGATGCCTCTGGGCAATATAAAGTTCTTTTAAAGCAACATGATGAAGGGAATGGGAAGGGGGATGGTGAGAATTTGGAACGCAGGCCAACATTCGATAATACCTCACATCCTAAGAAAGGAGTTCTGTCTGGTGTGTCATTGCGAAGGGAGTGGGGTGCTGAGCCTGAGCCTGATAGTGAAGAAGAGACGTATGCAATGAGAACAGAAGGTGAAAACTCATCTTCACACAAAGCAAAGGATCAAGGGGCTCATGATCCTGACACTTTCAAAGTCCAGTCTTTTGAGAATGTGTGCAGTGCTGTGGTTGATAATAATCAGAAACACCAATCTGTGACTGCTGCACCCTCTCCAGGAATGTCACAACCATCTCCTGGCACAGAAAGAGGTTTAACTGTAACAGCTACTGCAAGAGATTCAACTTTAATGCAGAAAATTGAAGGCTTGAATGTGAAAGTCCGTGCCTCCGATGGACGTTATGATGGTCCACAGAACTCATCCCAAGCTGTTATCCCTAAGGGTAATGACATGATCAAAGCTGGTATTATGGGACCTGGATCCCAGGAAATGCTTCCTTCTGCTGGGGATAGAAGCTCTCACCCAGCATTTGCTCCTAGGTTTGTGAAGAAGGCTTCTCTTTTTACTGTCTGTCTCTTTCTTCCCCTGTATTGCTAAACATCTCATTTCCAATTTTTGCAGGAGAGCGTATGATCATATGCATGGTAAAGGTAGTGATAATGGCAAAGGAAGGTTTCGCAGTTTGGATGGTGGTGGCTGGCAAAAGAAACCTGTAGCTGCTGAGCCTGCTATTATCCCAGCTGCTGATATCATATCTATTGATGTCCATGAAACTAAAGTCCAACCTGTAGTGGCAGCTGTTGAGGATCCTACAGGGAAGAACGAAGGAGAAACGGCAACTGAAATATTTGACTCAACTGATAGCCAGGCACAGGTTATTCATTTTGTAGTATTTGGTCTTATTAGAAGTGTTATGTTTTGATGTCTGTTATCTAGTTGTTTGACGTGTTACTTGTGAAACTTTGTTAGCGTGCCAAAATGAGAGAATTGGCGAAGCAACGGGCCTTACAGCTACAGAAGGAAGAGGAAGAGCGAATTAGAGAACAGAAGGCAAAGGCTTTTGCTAAACTGGAGGAGCTGAATAGGCGTACACAGGGAGGCAAGCCTTTGAAGAATGAAAAAGCTCTGGTTGGTGTGTGCCAGCCAGAGCTACAAGAACAACAAACATACTCTGGATCGAGCCTGGATGATGCTAAATCTCAAGCTGTGACAAAGGTTATTTCTTCAGTCTCTGGTGTTGTTACTCAGTCTAGTCTGAGCACTGTCCCAAGTGGTGATGAATCTGCAACTTCAAGCAGCAATTTACCCAAAGCTGTCCCCATTGAGCCAGTTGTTTTGGATGGTCAGTCCTTGCCTTTGAAACAGGAAGCCCATTCTGCTGATGCCATTGATCGTAAAACTTCTGCCCAAATGAATGAAGGTGGTGCCTCTAGACATAAACGAAACAGCTTTAAGCCAAAGCAGAATGCTACGCAAGAAAAAAAAATTAGCCAACAGTCAGAGGCAATCAGCGTTCCTGAGGGCCCTAAAAATGAGACTGGTATAACTTCCAATGAAGTCAATGTGGTTTCTCCAGCTGATACTTTGTATAGTGGTGAATCAAACTTCCCAAGAAACCCTAACATTGTTAGCGAGTCCTCTGCACAACAGAGAAGGAAAGGCAACAGGAGTGGCAAAAAGCACAAGCTGGATGATGCAGCATCTATACCTATTTTACCATCAACAGCACCAAACGAAAGTAACCCTGTTGAAGCTTACACTGAAAAGGAGGACTTTAAGGCTTCTCAATCAGATCTGGATAGTAGTGTAGTTCAGGAGGTGATCACTACTGTTGATGGAATGGAGTCCTCCAAGCAGCATTCTTCTTTACAAGGTGATGAGGCTCATGGTAGACTAAGCAACCACAGAAAACCTCAGCACTCTCGCAGGTTTGCAAGAAACCAACAATCTAACAGGTTTACGGATAAATCTCATGGCAGTGATGTTGTTATTTGGGCACCTGTGAAGTCACAAAGTAAAGCAGAGCCTGCAAGTGAAATGAGCCAACAAAATGCACAGGAATGTGGTATTTCAGCAAAATGTGATAATCAAGTACAGAGTAACATTAAAAGCAAAAGGGCAGAAATGGAGAGATATGTACCCAAGCCAGTTGCCAAAGAACTAGCTCAGCAGAATAGTGTCCAGCAGCCAGTTTCATATTCAACTGAGATGTCAACATCTGATGAGTTTTCTGAGAGAATTGAAAGTGGGTTAGCAAGCTCTGGAAGTCTTCATCCGGGTAGTTCAGCAACCTGCAATGTTGCATCAACTGCAGAGTGTAGGGAAGTTGATTCCAGGCTTAATAAACAAGTCAAAGCACATGGAGCATGGCGTCAACGGGGTTCAACAGAAGCACCGCAGAATGCATCTCCAACTTCCACATCCAACTCAAGCAAGAGTACTCGGACATCAGTCCGCCAAAACCAATCTGTGAAGCCCGATCTAAATTCTGCCAAAGTGGAAGGGAAGGTATCCAGGGATTCTAGTGCTTCTGATGGCCAGAATGTGTCCACTTATTCTAATGTAACAGCTCCTGCTCTTTCACCTGTTGCGAAAGATCAGGGAGTAACAGGCAAAGGAAAGAAGCACTCATTGAAGGCTGACAAAAGCATGGGATTTAATCATGACAATGAGAAGAATCAAATTAGTGGGGAAGCTGATGGGAGTCATATCCAATTTTTGGGTCCTGACATAAAACATGCTGATAAGGTCAATCTATCAAAAGAGAGTCGAGGCTTTGAGGAACGGTCATCGTCTCATTGGCAACCCAAATCTAATTCATCTTCAAATAACAGCCAGCGTGGAAATAGGTCTAACTTAGGTCAGGCTGTTACTGTGGAAAAAGATGTTGTCAAAAAGGATTATCCTTCACTGCCTAGTTCCCATGTTCCGCCTAATGTCAAGGAGAGCAGCGAAATAGATTCTCTGCTGGATCAAACTTCTGAAAATGTAGGGCATCAAGGACACAGGAAAGAAAGGAGAATGCCAACATCTAAAGGACATTCCCACCCCCCTAATGGAGGCGCAAATGGTGCTGATGAATCAAGATATACTATTAATGCTGATCCTCAAAATAAGCAGCATTTATCTTCTGATATCAAGAGGGGTCGAACTCAAAATAATTATCCTGGAACAAGCCGTGAACCTCGTGGGGATTGGAATAATGATAGGCAGAGGCATAACATCCACCACTATGAGTACCATCCTGTAGGGTCATATAACAATAGTAAACCTGAAAAACCAGAAGATGAATATCATAATGCGGGCCAAAGATACAAGGACAGAGGACTGGGTCAGTCAAAGCGTGGCAGGGGAAATTTTCATGGGCGGCAAAGCGGCAGTATACGTTTAGATGCTGGTTCTGGCTGATCAGATGGAAACTAGGATTAGCTTTCTGTTTTCACCATTTGGAAACTAGTCTGCCAAATGTTGGGTCTTGGTTTGATTAGGCAGGATTTCAGGTACTGCAATTAGATGTACGAGTTCTTTTGTCAAGATTTTTTTTTGTTAACTGCTGTTTTTTGTCCATTGATGGTGAGAGTTCATTTAAATGCTCCATGCGCTCTGCATGCTGTGTTGTTCGATACAGCAAAAGCAATGGTTAGGTAATGTAGTAGGAAAAAGTAATTTGTGTGAGATCTGAAGACAACAAAGCTCTTGTTAATCAAAGCATCATTATGTGCTTTTGCGCTTAATCTTTTGACGTGTAATTGTTCCGTGAAGATCTACTAACTCCGTGATCCTTCTCAGTGTAAAATGATTGGCAGTTTGGTTTGAGATCCTTGTAGATGATGTTCTGAATAGTGTTGGACCACTGAATTTACTCTGGACTTTCTTGAGAATTTTAATCTTGTAATACTCTAGAAGCTTTGAAATGGCTGATGAAATGCTGAATTTCCATTCCTGGTCATATCGTTTGAGGTAGTTACTGTGTTGTGTCAGTTTATTGTCTTACAAAACCAAGAAAGTCTGCGAAGTGCCTTTGGTATATAGTTCAGTTTCAAAGAAAATCTTGTATATTTGGAATGAATTGAAGCAAATGTTACATTTTGGCTGTTGTATCCAAATTTTTACATGTAAAATACAAGTTGGCAGTATTTTGTGATTTATTGTTACTGACTGCTGCTCATGCTATCTAGGTATGTTTAGTTCCTGGGGAATGATTCAATGATGGACTATTTCTATAGTATTATTAGAAATCTGGAGACGATCCTCACTTATTGCGTGTTTTGGAGCTCTACTTGTCTCTGGACCGAAGGAAATACTGTTTGAGATGTCAGCTCTATATTGAATTTTGTATTACGAGCAATCTGGAGGTGTCACTGGCTGCTTGAAGTACAGTTCTTCTGTTTCTCTTGCGTACCACCAGAAGGGAGAGAACCGAGAGAACCGTGCCTTGGCAGGACCTCAGAATGTGCAGAGCTTCTGTTATCCTAACACACTGAAAGAGAGAAGATAACCACTGGTTGATAGTACAGCCCAGGCCATCACAGAACCTAGCAATAGGTGTCGCTGGCTATCTTATTAGTGAAGCGAAGAAGAATGTCTAGAGAAGAGACTAGGTTGGTCAAGGGTAGAACTTGTAACTTTGCTAAGCTCTCAAGCAACTGATATTTTCCATGATTTGATAAAATTTTTGCAAGTGTATTGGTGTTCAAATTGTGTGCAATTGCAGTTAATCTAATGTGTTAGCCTTTGTGATGGATCATTTTGCTTTTTGTTTGTGTACGTGAAGATCATTGAGTGACGACAGTCTTGCATTATTTGTGCATATCGAAAATTGTTGAAGGTATAATAAGATAATAATCTAATTAAGTAACAATGCATTATTGGCTAGATATGAAAAATTTTCTCATCTTCCTAATCCTTCGTTTTAAGTGTGTTGGTGTGGGGTCTTTTTAATCCTTTGGGCGGTTGGATGGTGTAAAAGCATGATAATCTCATTCAATGCCGTCTGCTGCTCACAGGAATGTACAGGTATCTTTTCTGATTGTTGCTGAGTTTACTGCATACTTTGGGGATAGGTATGTCGTGTATGCATCTGAAATTATGAGACTAGAAACTCCTTTCTGGGTTTCTGTCCTCGATTTATATCCTTCCCAAGGTAAGATGTCCGGCATCTGTGTAGTCTCTGCATTCAGGTTGAGGCAGGCAATCCAGTCAGAAGCTCACCCGTGTATGCCTATATTGGTTTCTACACTCTGATTGCAAATCTATGGAGGGTAAGAAAGATTTGAAAGGCTATCGCACGCTCACAGATCCTGAATGTAGAAAGCAAAGACAACTTGAAAGGTTTTTCTGTATCATTGGTTTTAATCTTTTTTAACTTTGGAGGATATACCTCGTGCTATGAATGTCCAAGCTCTTTGTTCTGTTTTTGTGAATCAGTGGAAAGTGCATGTAGCAAAAGCAATCAAGAATTCTTTTGTAGTTTCAACTTTGAGCCGACACAAATCAAGCGTTGACATATATGTTTGGATGGTAATTGGCACCCACTTCTACTGAATGCTAAAACAAATTGTCATTGCAGATGCAAAGTTGGGTTATGTCGTGATGCTGGGGAGGTTTTGAAGTGTAGAACATTGATTTCTTCTGTTCGTGGTTGAAGACATTGCAAAGATAGCTGCTGTTCATTTGGAATCAGCAATGCTTGCCATTTAATGGGAACCGTTCATTTTTAAAATGAGATTTTTGGCTATTACTGCTTAAGATATTGTCAATTACAGAAGACAAAACTGGGTATTGGTCCTGCTAAAAATGCAGTGATACTCAACTAATAATAATGTCTATTTATTCTTCAATTTGGAAAAATGTTGGTTTATCCATAAACATCCACTAGTTCCTCATTTGCGAACTTTCATTTTTAAATGTCTTTCTGAATTTGTTTACAAGTTTTTGAATGTATGCAAATGTATAAATCGTAATGCCCTTGAACACAGGCATCCACCAGTGCCCTTGAAATTGGAAGAAGAAGAAAACAGACGAATCTAACACTCTTCTAGCAAAATTTGCGTATGCTTTGTCAGGTAAAGTGGGAGTAAAACTGTCATTTGCCTTGGACATATGGCCACTCAATTGTAGTTTATGTCAAAATAATTTTACTATCTGAACTTTCTATGTTTTGTATCAACAAAAACGTTGCCTTATCTTAATGTACTGATTTTTATCATGTCATTCTATCTGAATGAACATTTACTGGTTGATTAGGGGCACCACTAACAGTTAATTGGGGAAAAAAAAAGGACTTACTAAAGTACTAATACAGACCATAAAAGTACTGTTTAAAATAATGGTTTGTGTTGTCTTTAGGCCTGTCAACGGGTCGGGTCTAGACCCGGATTCATGAAATTATTGCGGGTATGGGTAGGGATTTAATTCCGTTTCCCGGATCCGGATCCAGATCCGTTTTGTCAAACAAAAAAAGGGTCGGATACGGAATATAGTATTCCGACCCGTATTAGACCCGGATCCGGATATAAATGAATTAATAATTTAAAAAATATATATTTATCAATATAATTTGATTAGGGTGATGTATTTGAGTAAAGTCAATTTGATTTCTTTTCTTATTTGATTTTTTCTTTGCATTAGTTAGAAATTAGTTTACAAATATATTTTTTCTCATTTTTATTAGAAATTATAAATTTTGCTAAATTTGTTCGGGCAGACCCGACCCGGATCCGCCGGATCCGGATCCGGAACATAGAATAAAAGACCCGTCGGGTAAACGGGTCGGATCCTGTTCCGGTATAGTAATTCGGGTCCGGGTCCGGAATAATGAATTTCGACCCGGACCCGGCCCGTTGACAGCCCTAGTTGTCTTGCATAATACAAATGAGCATTATTGGTCAATGGTCGACTGATGAAAGTTAACTGAAAAAGAAATGCTACTTTATGAACCAAAACAGACAATAAAGTATTTTGTCAAGATCAAAATTTTTTCTTAGAACTGGATCACCAGCAGAAAAATGATTCTGTACTGAACTTGCTCTTAAAAGGTATTAAATTGTTCGGTAAATCCATCTGCGCTATATCGACTCTCTCTTATTTCAGTCTTTTGTATTGTCATGTTTACAAAGAAAATGTGCCTCAAAAAAAGAAACAATGAACCGGGTATCCGGGGAATACTCACAATAAAGAACAACAGAAGCAGCTACAGAGTTTGTTAGTTCATTTGAAAGTAACAGTAGTGAACATGGAATGCAAGAAGCTTCTCAGAATAGATGCCTATTAAGTGTCATCCATCTGATGAAGAACAAAAAGGTATCTAGGAGAGTTTGAATCGGACTGTAACTTCCAACATAGGAAAGGGCAAAAATGGATGGCCCTTGTTTTGATCAAAGAAACTTTTGACCCTTTTCTCCCTGTTAGGAAGCCTGTAGAAATCTGTACAAGTATAGGGCATTTCAGTCATCAAATAAACCTGATATTACAAATGAAATATTAAGATCAACAAGTTAGAATAAAATTCATAAAACACCAGCATTACCCGGCCATTAGTTTTTCCATTTGCATTACCATTGCCAGGCCTCCTAATTTTCCTTTGTTATGGAACCCTGTTTGATAGTCTTGGTTAGTTAAGTAAGAATCTTCAGCTTTGAGAATCTCTTATGCAAAGCAAAAGTCCTAAGCTTTTCTTTCTGCTGGACCAATTGGGAAGCCTATCTGATATTGATTTGTTTCATGAGAGCTCAATTTAGCTGCACAATGTTAAGCAATAGGAAACTTGATCTATTTGGAAGTCCGAAATATAGGCAGCATCTCTTCTTCTCTAAATTACCAGTCTCCTTTTCTCTCTTCTTCACCTTGGCCCCGTCAAATGCATACCCTTGGAACTCCGTGCTTTTTAGCAGCATTTCCACCAATTCAGCTACGGAATCTGGAATATCAATACATCAAAAGAGAGTTAGGAAAGACTCTACGACCTTTTGAGTTATTTTAGACAGTCAAATAGACATCGTTAATCATCAATATTATGATAAATGTTTGGATACAATTCCTCACTGGAAACAAACTCTTGAAAACTGAAAGGTCCAATCTATACTTGTAAGCTGAATGTGAAAACTCAATTGAGAAATTAATGCTGCACCACTGAGCCCATCTTGACTTGTATGCAAGGTTTAGTCCATGTTCAATTTTGATGCAAATTAGTAAAATAGGATTTCAAAGCTTTATGGGAAGAAATTCTTCATTTTTTGTTTTATTGTCAGCAGAACAAATGAAAGGATTACAAACTAGAGAACGGCAACATTCAAAGATAGAATAACGTTGGGAACATACTTTCCCCTAATCTTCCTGGTTCAGTGTGGTATCTCAGACAACAAATGCTTTTGTACTGTACTTCAGGATAACGCAAAAGATCAGTTAGTTCATAGCTATAGTCAGAGGCGAATAAGAGTATCTACGTGTACGCTTAGGTGTATATGCCTTTGTGTGTGTTTGTGTGTGTCTGTGTGATACAAAGTGTACAAATGTACAATCTCAAAACAAACCAAATTTAGTCAGTTAGCACATTTCACCTGTTGCAGCACCGTGCATCAATTTAGTGGAAAGCATATCCCAGCAATCAAAAATTGCATCACCAAGCAGTAGCACAAGCTCTAAATGTAATTCCATGTCAATCTATACCGCTACAGCTTCATACATGCAATATTTATCTTGCATCACCGGTAGAAGCTTCTCCTTCAGTGCAGCATATATCTGCTCCATTTCCTTATGAGATCTGTCTGCTGCATAAAACACATGATTCTCACCCTTTACTTCTACTTGACTAAAACCGGGTACTTTATTCACTCTACTCTCCTTCATCCTCTTTCTTATATGAGCAAAATTGTCCCACAAACCGCAAGTAGCATACAAGTTAGATAGAAGCACATAGCTTCCTGAACTAGATGGCTCTAGCTCTAATAATCTCTCACCCAAAAGCTTTGCCAGGGCAACCTCCCCATATAACTTGCATGAGCCAAGTAGTGCTCCTAAAACAGCACCATCACATTCTCCTGGAGGCATTTGGTAAACCACCTTGACAGCCTCATTGACTAGCCCAGCTCGACCAAGGATGTCAACAAGACAACAGTAATGCTCTTTATTGGGAATGATATTATAAGCAGACCTCATGGAGTCAAAAAGCCTTTGGCCTTTCTTGACAAGACCTGCATGACTACAGGCCGTCAAGACTCCAACAAACGTAACCTCGTCTGGTTTATTGCCTGATCGCAACATCTGAGCAAATATCTGTAATGCTTGGTTACCATAACCATGATTAGAGTACGCGAGAATCATCGCTGTCCATGACAAAATGTCTTTCGCCTCAAGATTCTCAAAAACAAGTCGTGCTGAGCTAAGATCTCCACTCCTAGAGTACATGGTAACAAGAGCATTGGTCAATGAGGTCTCTTGCTCAAGACCTAGCTTGACGAGAAGACCATGAGCTTGCAACAGCTCAAGAATTCCTTCACATGCAATCACTACACTAGTGAGGGTAATTGCGTTAGCCCCACTGGATCTTCGTAGCATGAGAACAAAGTGCTTGAGAGCTTCATCTTGATGCCCATTTTTGGCATACCCATCAATCATGGCGTTCCATGTCACCATGTTGTGATTCGGCATCAAACTGAAAAGTTTACTAGCCTCAGACATGATGCCGTGATCAGCATAGGCTGATACCATAGCATTCCAAGCAATTATATCCTTGCTTGGCATTTGATCAAAATACTTCCGAGCCAAATCAATAAATCCTTTCTGTGCAAGCCCAGTAACCATTGTGGTCCAAGAAACTGCATTCGTCCACGGCATGCAATTAAACAGCCGCACTGCCTCATTCACCAAGTCATAATCCAAGCAGGCTTGGATCATTATATTCCAGGAATAAAGATTACGTTCAGGCATTTGATAGAAGAGCTGAAAGGCCTGATCAACTTGACCACTCTCCACATAAGCCCTGATCATAGCTGTCCAAGAAACCACATTTTTGACTGGCATTTGATCAAAAGTTTCCTGCGCCTGATCAATCAAGCCATTTCGAGCAAAACCCAACAACATTGTAGTCCACGAAACCACGTTTTTCTCAGGCATTTGTCGAAAGAGTTCACAAGCGTCATCCACCCTTCCATGTTTAAAATACCCAGAAATCAAACCAGTCCAAGAAAACACATTTCTACAAGGCATACGATCAAAAATTTTCCGCGCAAGATCCAGCTGACCAACCTTAGCATAGGCGTGTACCATTGCCGAATCAGCTACAATATATCTCTCAGGCATTGCACTATACAAACTTTCAGCTCTAGGAAGATCATTTTGTTTAAGATAAATCGTAATCATGGAAGCATAAGAAACGACATCTCTTTGCGGCATTTCATCGAACATCTTCCTGGCTTCACTTACTTTACCTTGATTACCCAAGCTTCTTAATTCAAGATTACGTCTATGGACACCCTTTCCCAACTCTAAGCCAAAGATGGTCGAGTTGCCCGTCAATTTTTGTGGGTTTTTTAGCATTACCGGAGTTGCATAGTCCCTGCTGCAATACCGTTTGGAAAGGGTGGGAAGTTTCAAGAAATGGCTGTAAAAGAACCATGAAGGAGAATTTGAACTCCTCAGGCACAGCCGCGCCGGCTGAGCCATTCACCTGAATGTTTTAGCCGCAATGAACTTCGTTGTTTGTACCTCTGTACACTTTGAGCCTACCTAGAAAGAAACTATGAATGGAAAAATATTGGCGGGCTTAACTTTGAGTGGATATTGAAGATATTTGTTGCATGCATGGCTGATAAGCATTCTTGGGTAAGATGTGGAAGAAGTGCTTCCTGGACTCGAGTAAACTCAGATGCAATTCAATTATAGTTTTAATCTTTTGCTGCTCTTTAACCAAGAATCCATAAACAAAGAAATTTCTTCTCGAAATTGAATTCATTTTTTGACAAAGATTGCCCCCCTACCTCTTTCACATTATGCAGTATCACACAGTTTCGACTGATACATACAAATTTGATGTATATTTTTCTGTTATTCTTTTGTTGATTTTCTAAAGGATGGATTTAGGGCTAGAAAGTATCAGCCTGAATCTGTAATTGATGCTGTAATAGGGGGTGGATTATTTTGGTGGAAGGATACATTTTCTGTGCTAAAGTGTTAGTAATTTAGGTTGGTTGATTATGAGTTTAAAACTTTAAGGTTGGGTCCATCTTAATTTTCTTGATGTGCTAATTAGGTGCCTTTTAGGTTACCAAATAAAGAAATCTTTCCTTTTATGTAAGTTGTTTTTGAGTGAATTTAAGAAATTTTATATAATTATTTAGCATTTTCATTTTTATCCACATGGATGGCTTGAAATTTAAAAAAAGAAAAAGCGTTTAAAATTGTATTTTTAACTTAGGGGTAATTTCTCAGAATAATGCGAAAACAAGAAAACATCACAAAAGTGATGCTGTTGAAGGTTGGCTTTCAGATTAAGGGTTGTTGCAAATATCATATGAGGTTTAATAAAAAATTTGATTTAAATTTCTTTTTTTTGTTTTAAGTTGGAACCAATTTATTTTGTTGAATTGCTGCAAAAGTAATTTGCGGCGGAGGATGAAAATTTTAAAAAAAATTCAATTTGGATTGCATTTTTCTGAATTTTTTATAAAAAAATTATTATAATAATTTAATATATGTAACTTAAAAAGGTGATAGAAAAATGTGTTCACGGAAAACGTAACAATTTTTTTGAAGAAAATCGCAATCCAAACGGGTTGCGGCGACGGTAAAAAGTTTTGTTTCTAAAAACTTTGAGGCAAAAGGTCCATGATGGTCCCACAATATTTTGAGAAGCCGCACATGTAATGTGTGGCAAAAGATCGCGGCCGTTCGTATCTTATTGTTTGGCTAATGACCGCACATCTAATGGCTTGGCGTCCACATCTTACAGCTAAGAGTTAGTACCAATTTTCTCCAATTTTCTTACAGCTTGGCGTCAATTATAGTTGATTCAGTTCCAGTCTTCAGCAACTCTGCAAGAACAAACAAAATTCATGAAGTATCATAAAGGCAATTATTAGAAATAAAGAAATACTTCAAATTCTGCAATAAAAATTTTGATAGCTTACCAGATTCGAAGGCTTCAAGTTCTTCCAGATTTTCTTCTACATTTAATTCTGTCTTGGAGGACCGAAACCAATCTTGAGCACATATTAAACTTTGCACAATTCTAGGAGTCAAAGAACTCCTAAATGTATCAAGAACACGACTTCCGGTACTAAAAGCAGATTCGGAGGCCACGGTAGAAATTGGGACTGCTAACACATCACGAGCAACTTTCGAAAGGATTGGGAATCTAAGGCTATTGGCCTTCCACCATAACAAGATATCAAATCTCTCATCATCTTCCTCACAATCCTCATTCAAATATTTCTCTAATTCAGATTTTGCATCCCTACCCCCAAGTTCCATTTTTCTCTTCTTAAACTCCAACTTGTACCGGTCAGTGATTGTTTTAGAGGCATCCCCATGTCCATAAAATGTAGTTTTACTCCTTTGAGATTCACTTGAAAGTGAAGAAGCATGAGACACAGAATTTGAGGCAGGTGTGTTAAGCATCTTGTATTCATTAAACAACTCAAACATTGCATCTTTTGCAAGGCCAGCTATTGTTGTACCATCGGACTCACCATACATTTGGCAAACCACAAATTCAAGGTATTCAAGTTTAGTTCGAGGATCAAGCATGGAGGAAATAAAAATCAGCATATTCATCTTTTCAATCTTTCCCCAATACTTATCATATTTCTCCTTCATTGATCTTGCCATTGAACTCAATTCTTCATTATCACTTGCTGTCATTTCAATTAAAATGCCATGAATGTGACTAATATCAGTGAAAAAATTATTTGAAATCACATATTTGGAACCAGAAACCTTCACAGTTAGCTGATAAAAGTTTTCCAAAAAAATTACCAAGAATCTAGCTTTTGTCCAATCAGATTTTGTTGGCAGATTTTCTAACTCTTGAAGCATGTAAGGATCCTGCTCCTCGAACCTCTCAAAAGCCCGCTCAAACCTTTGAGCTGTGTCTAGCATTAGATATGTAGAATTCCACCCAGTAGAGACATCTAAACAGAGCAATCTTTTGCATTCAGTTTTTTCAATTTCAACACACTCCTTGAATTTTTTCAATCTAGAAGGTGACTGTCTAACATATCTAACTGCTGCCCTGATACAATCAACTGAATCCCCAAGTTTTTTGATGCCATCATTGACAATTAGATTCACTATGTGAGCTACATACCTCACATGAGTCCATTTCCCCCTTAACACAGCTTTCCCCCAATTTTGAAGTTTTCCTCGTAAATAGCTGACAGCTACATCATTGGAACTTGCATTGTCAACTGTAACAGTTAGGATATCATCAACTCCCCATTCTAGTAGACACTTTTCTATGGCCTTACCAACTTCAGTTCCCTTGTGACTAGCAATAGGACAGAAATTTAGGATCTTTTTGTTCAATTTCCAATCATTATCTATGAAATGGGCAGTAAGGCACATATAGTTTATCCTTTGAATGGATGTCCAAGAATCTGTGGTTAAACAAATTCTGCCACTGTTATTCTTCAAGAGATGTTTCAACTTAATTTTTTCATCTAAATACAGCTGATAGCAATCTCTAGAAATAGTCCATCTCGAAGGAATTTTAAATGATGGACAAGCAGTCCGCATCATGTATTGAAAACCTCTACCCTCTACATGTTTAAATGGCAACTCATCAACAATTACCATATCAGCTATGCTTTTTCTAATGGCTTCTGCATCAAATTTCCAACTTATGAGTGCCCCTTTAACCTCTCCCTCTAATGTTTCAGTTTCACCCAAACACAAAGTAGCCTGGCCAGTGTGCTTATTTTTAGGATTTAGAGGACATTTAGCTACATGAGTATTAAGGGGAGTTGTACCATGACTTTTGGGATCTGCAGCTATGTCCTTCTCACAGTATTTACAAATTGCATGACGAACTCCATTCACATGCTTTACATGAAAATGATCCCAAGCTTTGGACCTCTTCTTGTACTCTCCTCTTTTCTTGACAAGACCAGATTCTTCACAACTTTGTGTTGTAGGACTAGGAAGAAGAGGTCCAGATGATCCTTCTTGTTCCAGCTCATTGCGACTTGGATTACTCTCACCATCATCAGTAGTAGACATACCTCAAATTTTTTGAAAATCTGAGCAAATAAATTATACAATTTAGTGCAACAATCAGTTAGCAATAAAATTGAAATAAAAGACTAGATGAAATTGAAGAACCAACTCAGGACAACATTTCCTCTCAAAATTGAAAATGGAGAGGAAACTTATAATCACTATTTCGTGAGAAATGCTACAAGTATAATAATAATTGGTCAATTTAGTTGAGGAGGCCTATTAGTTCCTGATTAACAATTATCATTTTTCTGCTTTCAAACTAGAAGGAAAGACATAATTTGGACCTATTAATACACTTTCCTAACTATATATACAGGTTCATTGTTCACAATCATCCCAAATTTAAGCCCTCGCATTCAAATGCTTGGCTTACCAAACCATGGAGAATTCTACGTCTTGACTAACATGCAGCCTGAGAACAGTACAACATGCCTATTTATGTAAATTGGAGACGAAAGTACAGATTTAAGAGACTTAATTGCAAATCTTCAAGAACTCAAGAAACGGGACTCATAATGTCAAAAGAGCAATTCTGATTGCTATTCCTTTTGTTTGATTCTTACCTCCATCAATTAGTCATTGAAATGGAGATGGAAAGTAAATCAGAATGCTTTAGTCATGTTGAATCAGATGGAAAGTAAATCAGATGGAAAGTAAAACAGTGTAAATCGGATGGAAAGTAAAACAGTGTAAATCGGATGGAAAGTAAAACAGTGTAACTCAATCTCCTCAGACACCACTTTGGCAACTTCATGTTGAATAAGAAGTAGCAAATTTAATTTTAAAAGCCTCAGCTTCACACCAATCAAACATTTTTCAACCAAACCCAAAATTACACATGTTTCAAATCAAATAAATTTCGAAATTATGGCAACTTATTAATCTACAAAGTGAAGCACTTAACTTACCTTCACCGGAATCAGCATTAGCGAACCGTGGTCCTGGTGATGGTGGATGCTCGGTCAGCAATGGTGGATGCTCGATCAGCAATAGTGAAGCCTCGGTCAGAATGGGAAACAGAGAAAGAGTCTAGGGGTGAGCTTTGAGCTTTCTATAGTTGAGGTCCTTGAGGAGAGGAGAGGACTGACAGAGGAGAGAACTGAGGAGAATGAGGAGAGGAGAAACGAGAGGAAGAGGAAGAGGGGACGGCGTCGCGGCAGTGCAGAGGAACGAGAGGAAGAGGGGATGAAGAGGACTGGAGAAAAGTAGCTAGTTTAGGGCACCGCGTCTGAAAATCTGAAATTGGACCAATATCCGGACATAATGTATTATTTCCTATGTAACTTAATTCGGGAATTTCGAAATTGAAAACGGTAAATTATTACCGTTTTACCGAAATGAATTCGAATTCGGTAAATCCGAAATGAAAAACTATAAAACCATTTTCAACCCTAATTCGATTTTACCTAATATGATATCCCCGATTTACCGATCAAATTACCGAATTACCGAATTCGAATTACCAAATTGAAATCGATTTCGGTCGGTAAATCGGTAATTACCGTAATTGCTCACCCCTACCTATTGGCAGTATTAGCTGATCTATCTTTCTTTCTTTTTTATGGTTCATTTTCTGGTGATTTAGTCTCGGAAACTTTTGTTTTCTGGCAGGTCTTTCACTTCTTGAGTGTCCTGGACTAAAAGCTATTGATCCGGCTTATGCCGGCGAATTTCTTAGAATAATTTTAAAATAAGAAAATATCACAAAAGTAGGATTGATTTTGTTTTTAAGGTTCGTTGCAAATGGAAAACTAGGTTTCAAAAAAAAAATTGATTTCAATTTCATTTTTTTCGTCGCCAAGGAAGTAAAAGGACTGGATTTTTTAAAAATATATTTTACAAGGTTTCGCCACACCTCAAAAGGGCGGTGAATCAAATAATTTTTTTTAAAGGATTCGCCGCACCTCAAATGGGCGGCGAATCAAAATTTTTTTTAAATATGGAATTGTGATAATTTTGCCTGCAAACCCCAACCCTAAAACAATAATCCCTAAACCCTCACAATAAAACCCTAATACGTAAATCCTAACCCTAAAAGCTACAAATTTAATTTAGGGATAATTTCATAAACCTCCCTTGAGGTTTCTTACAATTTCACTCGGCTCCCCTTAAGTTTAAGAAATTACACTTACCTCCCTTGACGTAATAAAATACCTATAATACCCTCTACTTGGTAGACAATTCTAAATTTAAGGCAATAGATTTACAAAATCCAAAAACAAAATATTTTTCTGTCTGTTGTCTATTTTCGCAATGATAGAGAAATAAATAATGAAATTTATGATTGAAATAGGAAGAAGAACTAGAGATGTGAAATTTGTCATATTTTGTTTGTTGCCATGAAATTTTTTTATAAAATGTCAATAATTACATAAGGATTTCTTTCATTAGATTGGAAATTTTTTGTTATGATTTTATTGTCGAGGTAGAATTTATTATTTACTTTTAAAATATTAATATTTTTAAGACCATAAGAAGGTTGTAATGGTCGTTCTAGGTCAGATTAGCTTGTCTTGAAAAGGTATTTGAGCATTGAGATAATGGGAGGTATGTGTGTGTGTGTGTATGAGTGTTTTTTTTTGTTTTACGTAGTAAGTTGATGCTATATATGCAACTTGGAATCTTTTTTATGGTTATTTGGATTTGAAACTTATACATGGATGGTTGTTAGAGATTAGGTTTGTTGATTTGTGCAAAGTATGGAAGAAAATGATTAAACATACTATATTTTGCTTTCTTAGTTTTGTACAAAAGGGTAATTTAGGATTTTTAAGAGAAAATCTTCCTTGTTGGACTTATATTGTTATATAAACAGTAAAAGTCGGGGAGGTATATGTAATTTTTAAAATTTGAGGGGAGCTCTCTGTAATTATTAAATACCTCAGGGGAGGTTTGTGAAATTATCCCTTTAATTTAACTACAAAAATTGTGTTAATTTCATAAATGGTGATTAATCATCCTATAAAAATGCTTTCAGCTTCCTTTTGGTTGAAAATATAAAATGAATTGAAAATTAAATATGCCCAAATCATCCATTTTCGAAATTTTTGGTTTTAATGCCAGGCAAGACATATTGAAAATTAAATATGTCGAATACATGAACAACATGTGTGGATATGCCCATCTGCAACACTTACCTTCATGTTTTCTATCATGTATCTGCTTAGCTAAATCCACAACAGACATCTCGAAAGGAACAGTACGAGAGCTAGATGGGCCAACGTCTTGACGGTCGAATGGGCTAACTGCCATCCGCATTTCTTGATTCAAGTATTGTAATGTCTCGAAAGCCTTTTTTTGCATTACTATCAGTCCAAGATGAGCACATTGCACAAGATTAACGGGATCGAGATACATATTACATAGATTTTGCAACTGTATGAGGTCAGCAATTATGGTGTAATGAAAGACCATCAGCTGCAAAATCCTCTATTATAAGGCTAGATGCCACCACTTTGTCTCGTACAAAATGATCAATTCCAGCAAAAAGTAATAATTGCAACTAGCAGAGGACTCAAACGCTTCTGCTTAAATTTAACATGTCATGAACAGCATCATGGGAAATAATACATGAACCACTGGGCCAATGGCTTAGCGGCCACCAGGGAGGGACTTAAGTCCCTCCTTGGGCTGTAGGTGAGGGTTCAAACCTCACCTGCAGCGAAAAAAAATTTAAGGGTTGTGTCATAGCACTCTCTTGGTCTAGTTGGGTCTGCATACTCATTAGCCCCTACCACAGCTTCTTTGGGCTCCCCCTCCCCTATAGATTAGGATAGAATAGGTTATACAAATGTATCGTTGCTGACAAAAAAAAATAATACATGAATATTTATATAATTATCTTCATGTTGAATGCAACCAGACTCTACCACAGCTTCTTTAGGCTTCCCCTTCGTTGCTGACAAAAAAAAATACATGAATATTTATATAATTATCTTCATGTTGAATGCAACCAGAGCATGGGAAAACTACAACTGATGATAAGACAAATGGACACAAATGGCGGTTTCTCCAAAAAAAAAAATTTAAAAATATTTCATGCTTCACCGCAAATGTAATTTGCGGCAATTAAAATTTTTTTTTTTCTTGGCCTCATTCTCCATTTGTGGCAAAACTTTTTGTGAAAATGAAAAAAGTTTAATATAGAAGCGAGCCCAGCATTACTTTTGTGATATTTTCTCCTTTTCGCATTATTTCGAGAAATTCGCCTGGCTAAAACAGTAGGTATGAAAATGCTCTCAAGATGTCCCCAAAAAAATTAATGAATGATTTTTATGTGTTTTGTAAATTATTCATAAGTTGCAAAATTTTTAATATATCTTGTCCAAATTATAAAATAAAAGTACGTAAAACGATTTCCTAACCTCGATATAAACTTAAAATTTTCCACTAAGGAAGTAAATTGGTAAATTTTCAAATGTTGAGGGATTTTAAATTGATTTGCCATGAGCATTAGCACAACAAAGGGCAATTTTGAAACAAAAATTATCTATGCACTTCCAAACAAAAATAGTTTTTCAATATTAATATTCTGAGTTGGGTTAATAAACAATGTTACAAAAGTTTTAAAATAAGGGAAAGTAAGTGATATTTATAATGCTCCGTGATACTAATACTGGCATTTTTGTGTGTTATCCAGTTTGGGGAAAAAAATAAATTATTGTTTTTTGCTGCCTATTACATCTACCTCCCTCGAGGTTTGTCCATATTACGTAACAAGCCTTATGATTTAGCCAAATTACAATCACCCCTTTGTCATTGACTGTTGTTTAACTCCGTTAGTGTGTATTGAGAAATGACAAAAAGGCATAGTTCAAAGATTCCACAAATAAAATGAAAAACTCAATAAAAGAGCATTTATAGAACAAAAAATGAAAATTAAGTCAAGGAATGAGACAAAACTCCAAAATTAGTAAGAAAGATAAATGGAGTAAAACTAATTGAGAAAAATAAAAACAAAAAATAAATGTTAAAACCAATGGAAAATTGAATGTCTTGAAACAAGCACTGAAGAAAGAAAACAGGACTATAAACAAACTATTTAATACCAAGAAAATGAAAAGGAAAAAGGTGAAAGAAAATGATAAAAAAATTTGAAAAAAGCTACCAAAGTGACTGGTCATCATCTTTTTCAATGGCTTTTCTTTCTTTCCACTCGGTTTTTTCCCCTACTTTTTATTTGTTCAAAACTCTATCCAAATTTGGTAGAATTTCATTAAAATTATCACCTAAACATTAGAATAAAAGCTCATGTACATTCAACTTGTTTTGTGGGGTTAATTGTTAGTGTTTTCGTTATCTTAAGTTCCATGAAAGATTAAAACTTTGAAGCTTAATACCAATACTTGCAGCTTTTGTGCTTCTTTGCCCCCCAAAAAAAAATAGTGCTGAAATCTTTGCTATTAGTCGTGGACCTCGTGGTATTGGTGTTGTTTGCTAGGGAGTAGGGAAGGGGGAAGAAGACGAGGAAGAGCTTTGATGGGCATTTTGGGGAATCTGTCATAACTTTGTGTTGAGATCGTTCAAACTTAGGGGCGAATTTCTAAGAATAATGTTAAAAGAAGAAAATATCACAAAAGTGGGGTAGTTTGGGATTGAGTTCTAATTTAAGGGTCGTTACAAATGGTAAAGGAGGTTTTCAAAAAAAAAAAATTGATTTAAATTTCATTTTTTTTCCTCCCTAGAAAGTAAATGAAGCGATATATATATATATTTTTAAAAAAGGTGCGGCAAAGCAAAATTATTTTTGTTAAAGGGTTCGCTGCACCTCAAATGTGTGACGAAGCTTTAAATTTTTTTATTTAAAAAAATGAAATCACGTCGATTTTGCCCATTAACCCTAAAACACTAATTCCTAAATCCTAACACTAAAACCCTAATATTTTATCGTACAGTCACTTGCCCAACGACCGCCTCTGGGAAAATCATTTCCCTATGCAGCTGGAACCACCATAGTCAGGCGAATCCTGGGCATCATTTCCCACTCTCATAACTGTTAAAAATATAAGCATTGTGAACGTCATATTAATTATGCATTCAAATGAAATAAGGATGCTCAAGCATCCCAAAGTTGTTCCATTCATACCTGTAGAAGTATATATAGGGCAACAGTGCAGCTTGTGATCGCGTACGAAGCTTTATACAGCCAGGAGTATAAACAAGTAAGTGTGGGGTTGCCCCAAATGACTCGTACCCTCTATGTCTTGCAAGTAATAAAAAACAATTTCTGTCACCGCAAATTTAATTTGCAGTGAAGGAAAAAAAATATTGCCCATCAAATCATGACCGTTGATCACCATGATCAATGATCAAGAGCTGCGGCATTTAAAAAAATATATCGCCGCAAATTAAATTTGCGACAAAGGAAAAAAAAATTGCCCATCAAATCATGACCGTTGATCACCTGCTATATTTAAAAAAAATAATTTGTAGCGAAGAAAAATAATGCCATCAAGTCATGTTGTCCAAAGCTTTGCCGCACATGGGATCTGTGGTTTCTCAAAAAAATTTCAAACATCCGCTTTCGCTGCAAATTTAATGTGCGACTTCTAAAAAAAAAATTTTCAAATAAATTTCGTTTGCCGCAAATTTTGTTTGGGGCAATAGAATTAAATTTTTTTTTCAAATCACGACTGTTGATCAACATTTTAATCAATGGTACATAGCTTTTGCCTCATATTAGATTTGCGACTAAATTAAAATATTCAACCCAAAATCTTAACTTAAAAATTTTTTAAGCCGTTGAAAAAAAATTCAAAAATAAATTAGAATTTTTGTGCGCCGATTTTCTCAGGTACGACGACCCTTATTTCAGAAACAAATCCCACAAAATACTATATTTGTGATTTTTTCGTATATCAATATTATTTCGAGAAATTCGCCAAACTTAGGAGGTCAACGTTAATTTGCTATAGCAGGGCGCATTTTTTAATATGAAGTTTTGAATTTCAGGGAGTTTTTCGTAGTTTGGTTAAACCTAAAGGACTAACTTGAAATTTGGCCAAACCTCCGGGGAGGTAAATGCAATTAACCTAAACTATAATGCACCCAACCAGCACCAGCGCTCCTATGACGTTCCATCTCTGTCGGCTATAAATCTTTTATTTATTTATTTTAAAGGACGTCGGCTATAAATCTAAAACCCTAAAGCCCCAATCCACCTGAGCTTCTTATTATAAGAAGGCGGGCCCCACAAGCTGCGGCAGCGATAAACACAATCCAAATTCGGTCCAATCGAATGTCCACTTCAAACCAACTACCACGGAAAGGATTAGGTCTCGTTTGGTAAATGAGTTTTTCGGGTGTTTGTCTAAAATTTTATTGTAATTTACTGTAGATGTTGTAAGAAAATTTTTTAAAGTGTGTAAATTTTTGAATATTTTGGAGTGTATAATTTAAAAATTTTGATAAGTTTTATGAGTGTAGACACCAAATTTTTGTCAATTTTTAATATTTTTTTGAATTTTTGAATTTAATAAATTATTTATTTTTTGCATTTTAATGTATGTTTTTTTCATTTTGCAGGTTTGTTTTAGAAAAAGAAAAAAAACACAAAAAAAAAAAAAAAAAAACAATGCAAAATAGCAACAAAAAAAAAAAAAAGAAAATCAAGAAATCAAATCATCCTATCATTTTTTCCACCAAATACACTTAACCCATTTCACACTCAATTGCCATGCTTCTTTCAAAGACCACCATTTTTTTACAAGAAAACAAACCAACTCCCCACCTTTTCTCTCAATACAATCTCTTGGCTCTCACACACACACAGGAAGTCAGACAACTAAGAAAAAAAAGCACTCCTCATCCTCCCAAGTCCCTCTCGGTTCTCTGGGCTTCTTCCGAAGACAAAAATTAGCAACTTTTCTCTCAAAGAAGAATTCCTCTCATTTTCGGCTCTTTTCTTGGCCCACCAATAGACAAGCCACAAAAAAAAATAATCTTTTCCCTCCCTCTCTCGGCTAGCTCTTAGGAGTAACAGACAAGAACAAAAACCAAACAAAAAAACAAAAAACTCCACTGAAATTTTCTTTTGGACCTCTCGGCTCCCTCTACCCATTTTTCTTCCACAAAATCAAACACAAAAAGGGAGGCAGCTATCGGTTGGACAACTGAAGCTTGGAATTTCCTCCAAACTCTAGCCAAAGGACCGTAATTCTAGTTGAGGTAGTTTTCCTTTCTTTTTTTCGATTTTTTGTTTCTTTCTTTTCCCTTTCTTTTTTTTGGTTAGTTATATTAAAAGCACGTTTAAGTGCTGCTTTGTCCCTTTCTTTTGTTGGTTTTGTTGTTGTGATGTTGTTGGGCAAGTCCAAGATTAGATCGAGGAGAAGAAAGATTATTTTGGTATATGCATGCTATATGTTTGATAAAATGACAAAATGGAAAACGAATTAAAAGCTGAACATTGTGCATGTTTTTTTTTTTGTCAAAATAGGTGACCGTTTGCTAGTGTAGGTCCGAAAATGTGTGATTATTCAAAAATTTTGGGAGTTTGAACTTTAGAAGCATGTGAATAATTTTTCTTCATTTTGGACTGTTTTATTTTAATGTTGTCATATTTGTTGTTGCTTTTATTGATTTCAGTTCATAGTTAGGTTGTAAAAATCACAAGGAGTGTTGTAGTATATTTTTTATAATTTTTAGTGAAAGATATGGTGATTTGAAAAAAATAAAAACTGGTCTGTCTTTTGCTTTTTTTGGACGCTTTCGGGTCATTTTTCGTAAAAACTAACTCCGGAAATGGAATCTACGCGAAAAATCGAGTGGGGGGTGTATTTTGTGAAAAATTATGACTGAAAATTTTGCCGGCGACCGTCGGGCGACGGCGGTGGCGCCGTTGGAGCCACCATGGCCGCCAACTGAAGTGAGCTTCGGATGGCCAGAAGAGAAGAAGAAACGAATGGGGAAGAAAGAAAAGAAAGGAAAGAAAAGAAAAGAAGAAAAAAAAAAGGGAAAAGAATTAGCTAATTCTTTAGTGGGCTTGTGGTTATTTTGGTTGGGTTTCGATTTATTTCTCTTGGGTTTTGGTTGGGCTAGAAGGTCAGAGTCCATTCATTTTTGGTTGGGCTTGAGTGATAAAAAAGGGGCTGGCCTGTGTATTTTAGCCTGGACTTTCGATTGGGCCGGATGGCCGTGGCCCAAAGAGGAAATGGAGAATGGCCTAGTGGCCCATTTTCTTAAGAATATCAGACACCGAAATTTTCACTTTAGCCCCTCATCTTTGGAGTAGTTTTGCTGAGGCCCAGAATATTTTAAATCCCTTTCACCTAGGTCCTTAAGTTAATTGCACTTTGGTCCCTGAACTTTATCTTTCATTTAATTTTGGTCTCTAAACTTTGGAAAAATTATATTTTTGACCCCAAAAGTCTTTCAATTTTTTGCACTTTAGTCCCTGGTGAATTTTGACTATCTTTATAATAATTGTTTCTGTTCTTTATTAGCTAATTATATTACTTTTGAGTATATTTAACTTGTAATTTTTAGATGTTCTTGACTTTCTTTATTTTGACATTTAAGGTGAATTTATATTTTATTATTATTATTTTCAATTAAATTGGTACCATGATTCTTCTGTTCATTTTGAGTATAAATAGGGCAATTTGATTCCATTTAGTCACCACTTCAAAAGGGAGGTACTCCCTATTATTATTATTATTATTTCAATGTCAATTACGTGCTCTTATGTGCTCCTACGTGTTCCTATGTGTTTATATATTTTTATATGCTTTGCTTATTCGATTTAAATGCTCATTCGAATTTTCTTATATTTGTTTAGTTAATTCTTATAATTATTTGTGAGGCATTTAAATACCTCAAAAATGTAATAGATAGGATAATTAGATTTGTTTTATTTTATTTTTCCATTTTAGATTGTAGTTAGGTTTCTCGTTGTAATAGGTAGGTTTCGTGTGTTTATGTGGTTTATATGTTATGTGCTTTATCCGCTTTTCTTAGGATTTTTGCATATAGATATTATGTTTGTGTTACGTGCTATGTGCTTTTATGTGTTTATTTGTTTTGATTTATGCCTCATCTGTTTTACTATGTATTATTAATGCATGGCGTCACTACACTAGTCCAACGCTAGTTGTGGCTTCTCCCTCCGTTTACTTGCTAGTTCAATGCTAGTAAGGATTTTTAGAAATGGGCTAGTCCAGTACTAGACCCTTAAATCATTCATGCGTTAGATTCATCTTTGTGTGATATTCATTACATTTTCACGCATATTTTTTATTTTTAGGATCTTTTCTCATTTACATGATATTGTCTATTATATTATTCTCTACTCCATATCCTCTATATGTGTTAATCATGTCATTTAGAATTGTATCTCATTTAAGTTAGTTCATTTGCTTGTCTATGTTAGGAGAATTATTTTTTGAACATGGAAAATGGGTGATTATAATTTTTTACTTTAAATACCCCATTAATTTCATTTTCTCTTGTTTTTTCAAAGACCCAGAGTTGTCAAAAAGGGTTTTGTTTTATTTTCAAAGATCCAAAGTTTCATTCTAGGTCCTTTTTCACTTGTTTTTAAATAAAAAACGCCATCTTTTGTAAACACCCTCTTATTTCTATCGCGAAAAAATGGGGCGAGACAATGAGGTTATTGTAGCAAAAATTGTTAAAAATTTGTAACAGATAAATTTGGTAAAAAACTTGCTTGCAAATAGATCCTTAGCCACCACATATCTTGTGGGGGTAGGAGATTACCTTATCTCCCATCAAAAGTTGCTGTTTAATGTGGCTTCTCTAAGATTCATATAGCGCATTATACATCCGTATGATTTGATGGTGGTTCAATTCTTGTGGTCCTGTTGGATCATTCCTTTAATATAGGTTAGAATGGGACCTTCTATTATCGTTTAGAGTAGAACCTGGAGTAGGTGCAGTGGAGTAGGAGCAGAGGTAGAGGTAGGGATAGATGATGACAATAGACAAAAGGAAAAAAAAAAGGAATGTTCACTTCAAGGTACAAGAGCTCTAAGCAGAGAGAATCACTAGAAAGTACAACCCATTTAAGCAAAGTTGCGCTTGAAAGTAGCTCCGCTGTAGGAACGAAAAGTTTATGTATATGCAAGGAGATAAGGATAAAGATAAGGATATCTGTCGGCTATAAATCTAAAACCCCATCCTCACCCACTGCTGCTATAAATCTAAAACCCTGCTGCTAAAACCCTTTCCCCAAAACCCATCATCCTAAAATAATAACCATTTATTATTATTTTCATAATTTATGAACAGTAATCACGGACAAATTATACTGTAATTTTGCAGAACCATGAATGGAGTCGACGATGATGGCTTTCCAGCTCCTAAGCTCTTCTCTCAGGGCTACTCCTACACCTATGATGACCTCATCTTCCTCCCCCACTTCATCGACTTCTCCACCGATGATGTCTCCCTCTCCTCTCCTCTCTCCCGCAACCTCTCCCTCTCCCTCCCCTTCGTCTCCTCCCCCATGGACACCATCTCCGAGTCCTCCATGGCCTCAGCCATGGCCTCCCTCGGCGCCTTCACCTTCATCCACTCCAACAACTCCCCCTCCCACCAGGCCTCTCTCGTTCGCGCCGCCAAGTCCCACCGACTCCCTTTCTCCTCTGATCTCATCTTCCTCTCCCCCTCAGACTCCATCCTCTCCCTCGAAGACTTTGGCTCCTCCCCTTGCATCTTCGTCACCAGCTCTGGCACCAGCCGTTCCAGGCTCTTGGGCCTGGTCTCTCGCTCCGATTGGGAGGCTTTGCCCTCCGAGTATTCCAAGGATGCCAGGAGGGTCTCCGATTACATGAGGAAGGTGGACCGCGACTTCTGTTCCTTGCCCAATGGTTCTACTTTGGAGGATGTTGCTGCCTATTTGGCTGCTCGTAAACTCGATTTCGTCCCCCTGGTCAGGACAGCGGCCCATGACGGCGATGAGGACGAGGTGGTGAACCTGGCCACTTTTTCTGACGTCGAGAGGATCAAGGGGTTCCCCAAGCTAGGCCTCCCCTCCCTCGGCCCGGACGGCAACTTTCTGGTGGGTGCCTCCATTGGGACCCGCGAGTCTGACAAGGAGAGGCTGGAGCATCTGGTCAAGGCTGGGGTCAATGCGGTGGTCTTGGACAGCTCTCAGGGGAATTCCATTTATCAGCTGGAGATGATCAAGTACGTGAAGAGGACGTATCCGGGGTTGGATTTGATTGGAGGGAATGTGGTGACCATGTATCAGGCCCAGAACTTGATTCAGGCAGGCGTTGATGGATTAAGGGTTGGCATGGGTTCTGGTTCCATTTGCACCACCCAAGAGGTCTGCGCTGTTGGCCGTGGACAGGTATTATTACCTCGTCTACCAGTCCTACTGGTTCCTTTTTTCTCTTCCCCCTTTTCTGGTTTGCTTTCTTGAGCCCTTTATTTACACATTTGGAGAGAAGCTCCCATTTTTCTGCAATATATGCATTGACAACTGCATAAAGTTTCTGTCTTTATGTTCAAAATCACAGCTTCCCATGTTACCATTTGTGTGCATCGACTTTTTCCAGCTAGTATGCTTTCGTTATAGGAAGGGAAGTTCTTTTACATTTTCCTTGACCGCCCTCCTCTTACCCAATATTTACTCCATCATCATCACTTGTTGCCTTTTGGAGCATCATTTGTGTTGAGTTACTGGAGTATAGTGCCCAGTTATAAACTTGCAATGAGAGGATATTAGGGAATTTAGAACTCTTTCTCGTGTTTGTGAAATCTCAGCTACAGACTCTTTATACAATGATTTCTTTGGAATTTGTTTTTAGGGCACAGCTGTTTATAAAGTATCATCTATTGCTGACCAAAGTGGTATCCCTGTCATTGCCGATGGTGGCATTTCAAATTCCGGGCACATTGTCAAGGCTTTAGTTCTTGGGGCATCAACTGTGATGATGGGCAGCTATTTAGCTGGAAGCACTGAAGCTCCAGGCACTTACCAATATCAGGTTTGGTGGCACACCTTCTTGTTTTATCTATATCCATTACAGCTTATAGGATATTCTTCTCATTCCCAACATTTCCTCTACTGAACATATATTCTGTTATCTTTTTCATCTTTTCCTTTTTTTTTTTGTGCCTTTTTCATGGTATTCTTATGGGATACTTTTTTTATTTTGGGGGGACGGGGTGGGTAGGCATTAGGCCTTCAATTCTTCCTTTATTAAGTTTACAACCTTAATAATAAGCTGAGGAATAATGGTTAGAGCAACATGCTTGTTTTATTAAAATTCTCGCATCTATGATTATCTGTAGGATTTATATGTTATCGAATGAGATACCTGTGGGACAGAGTCTTCATGCTCTCTTGCTGCAATTAAGTTGGACAAAATTAGAATTTTTTCACGGCTCTCCTTTAATAATGCATGGACATGAGTGTGCAAGCACTTGTCATAGCTGCCAAACGCTTCTGCATGATTATGCCACATAATTGGTGCTTTATATCTTTCTTTAGTTTGAATAATTCAGATTTGGAATTACAGGATGGCATTCGAGTCAAGAAATACAGGGGCATGGGATCTTTGGAAGCAATGACAAAAGGGAGTGATGCAAGATACTTGGGTGATACAGCTAAACTGAAAATAGCTCAGGGTGTAGTTGGAGCAGTTAGAGACAAAGGATCAATTCTTAAGTTTATACCCTATACAGTGCAAGCAGTGAAGCAGGGTTTCCAGGATCTTGGTGCTTCATCTGTTCAATCTGCACATGACCTGTTAAGATCGGAGGTGCTGAGGCTTGAGGTTTGTTTACCACTTCAACTTGTAGCTGTGAAGCGTTACCTTGCTCGTAATCTAACGATTATGTACCTACAAAAACTCACTTGGTGTTTTGTTCTTTTACAGGTTCGAAGTGGAGCAGCACAAGTCGAAGGTGGAGTTCATGGTTTGGTATCTTATGAAAAGAAATCTTTTTGATACCTTAATTGATGCTACCATTTTTTGAAGCCTTTTGCAATTCTTTTGCTGCGCCATCTGCAATCCTGTGGTCCGTGTTAATTACATGCATTGTTTTTTGATGGCTATGGGTGGAATCTCTTCTTTTGGTTTGAAGAGCCATCTAGGGCAGAAGCCATATTACTGCATGCACTGCAATTAATTGGCTTTTGGATTTCAAGTATCGGCTACTGTTAAAGAGTAGATTATGATTCTTTGATATATTAATTTTACTGATTAAGCGGGTAAGTGTGTTGGTTAAATAACAAGGACTTATTTCACTTGCTGCTTCTTTGTATGCACCATATGTGCTCCCTAAATTGGCAGTCTAAAGCATATGATCCCCAGTATTCATCCTAAGGATTGGGGATGAAGGGGAAAGCGGCAAGGCAGCCAGCTATGCATGTTAGGATCTTTCCATTACAAAGGCAAACGCTCAGCAGTCAGCATCTGCACATGTTTTCGTATCACATGCATGGTAAGTTTCGAAATTTGCTCTTCGAGATATATTCTCTGCCGGGATTAGACAATTTTTAGCTTTGCATATTGGAAAAAACGTCTCTTGCATATCTAGGGTGTACAAGCAAGGCTGGCGTGAGAGCAGGGCTGCGGGCTTAAGCAAGTCTCTGTTCCCACCAGAAATTTGCAGGAATGAGCTTCGTGGTGGTATAGATAAAACAGTTCTAAGCAGCTGATTCCGAGCTGGAGTGCGCCTTTACTTCTTTGGTTGAATTGGATTGCCAGCACTAATCTTAAATTAGTTTCATGGCCAGGATTATTTACTGTCTTATTAGCTCAGTGTCCAGGATTAGTTACTGTATTTGGTGGATCCTTTGGAAGAGGACAAGCACCAAAGCAGTAGTTACCCTGAGCCACTTCAGCCTAAACGTTCTTCTATCTAAGAACTAGTCTTTTGCACGAGCTTTTCTTTTCATCTTCGATATTTCTTTCAGATGGTCATGGATACAAAAGCACTAAGATGACAAATTTAATAAATTTTAAAATACTAAATATAAAACAAAATATTGAGACTAAAAGATGTATAAAAATAGTTACCCTTACACAACATAATGATTAATTCTTAACAAACCTTAGAAAGTATAATCAATATTTGATTACTTTTTTAAAAAAATTTAAAGAAAAGAAATTAATATGAAAAAATCCTGTAAAGGAAAAAGAACAAAAGATATCCATATAAGCAGCATGCGATCGTGATTGCAAAAAAACAGGTAACTAATTTTGAATTTTCTAATTAGGAGATAGAATATATCTTTTTTTTGGTATGCTGGAGAGTGAAAGGAAATTAATTAGAATGAAATTTATAATTGATGAATTATAGGGAAATATGTGTGTGTGTGGGTGTAGGCAAAATCATCAACTTAGAAAAACAGAAACTGAACAGCATTTGGAACTGTAGATTCATGGATTAAAAAAAAAGACAAAATCAATAAAAAAAACATATATAAAGTAGAAAATCACTACGTTGATTGAAATTTGTTATAGAAAGGAAAGTAACGAATTATAGCAAAAGTTTTATTATTACTTATAAATAATATTACTTGCTACCCAAAGTCTCCATAACAACAAAGTGAGATGCTGAAAACATTTCTTTAATTTGTATTCTGAAACTTCAGTAACGTACCAAGGAAAAGAAACTTCTATGGTCAAAGAAGCTCCAAGAACATGCTAGCTTTTGGATGGAGGCCTGCCTCTGTCAGCGTCATTCCCATCTGATCAACACTAAACACCTTTCTTGGGAAGTTAGAAATTAGCCTGTAATTGCCGCCAACTCCAGGCAAGCCTAATGAATTAATGTACCTAAAAATTGCTTGAACCTTGTCTGTGCTCAAGAAGCTGTGTTCCCTTCTCTCCCCATTTGGAAACCTTATCAATATCTACACAGAAAGATGAGGAGTTCATTCTTCAGATCAAGCTCAATGGGCATATGAAATATTATGGACCAAAGCATACTCTTACAAGACTATAAAGAGGATAAGTCTTGATCAAATACCTTGGTTTCTTGAGCATTTCCTTTATGCATAGCTCCTCCTGCTCTTGGGCCATCCTTGATTTGGTTGTTTTGCTGCTTTAGAGGAAGTGGCTTGGTTTTTTCTTGATTAGATGAATTGGAGGCACTTGCAGCTTTTGAAACTCTTTGTTCTGAAGCGAAACTCCTGAGCTTTTCCTTCTCCTGTACAAATGGGAAAGCCTGTTTCCTACTGGTTTGATTCAGACATTAACTTAATCGAAGCTTGACTAATTTTGAGCAAAAGTGCACCTGATCTCTCTGGAGGGCTGTAACATAGGCAACGTCTTGTTCTTCTCTCAATTTACGATCTGCTCTTCTTTTTTCTTCCTCGTTGGCCCTTGCACTGTCAAATGCCAGTCCTTGCTCCTCCATGGTCCTTTGTAGTATCTCCACCAATTCAGCAGGGGAGACTGGACCTTCAATCTACACAGGGCAAGTCAGAGAGTTTCCCTTCTTTCACAAATCAAATACATGTGACATATCAATGTATAATGATGGTAAGGAAGTTCAGATGCATCAGATTTTTCATGGAAGAACATGTCTTGAAATTGAAACAACTGAATTAACACTTGAGAATTTCAATGTGAAAACACATCAAAAAAAGATGGAAAAGATGCTGCTTTGATGTATGAGCCCAATCATGGCTAGTAGTCTCCCCTCAGTGCACTATACTACCATTACAAGAGGCATGACCATATCATCAGAAAAGATAAATCTAAACTTTCTTGGGAGTATTTTCCTTCTTTTGCGATCATATTCACAGCAAAAATGAGAAAGCAGAATCCCAGGTAGTACGGGCTATAGCTACTTTGACCTGAGATATCAGCCAACACCTAATATTTGGGGATATCTTTGTTCCTATTTGCTGATAATTTAATCTGAAATGCAGGACAATTAAAATCTTTTTATACTGAACCTTTTGATTGTACACAAAACCAACTAGTTTAGGCAATAGGCATTCTAGTCATGTTGAGGTTTCATATTCAGGTGCACATAATGAACAAATGTTAGGCTTATAAACATTTCAAAACGGAATGAAGTTTCTGTATAAAATTTCCTCTTACCTGTCGCAGAACTGCTAAATTGCCAGCAGAAGCTGGAGCAACCACAGCACAGAATGGGAAGTTGGAGACCCTTAATGTTGAAGCCAAATGGAACCCCTCCCCTCTGTTTGCAAGTGCTCCCCAGCTAATGAAATTTGCATCAAGAAACTGAACAACCAGCTCAGAACCTAAAGTCTCCCTGCAGAAAAAGGGAGTGAATTGGTGCTCAGGGGACTGCAAGTACAGGAAAATGAACTTGTGCTCTTCTTGAGCCATCTTCAGAGCATCCATGAACCGACAAACGTAGAAAAATGGATGATTTGTGCCATATTCCTGCTCCAGACTTGCTAGAAATGCCCATTCCTCTTGTACCATCGGTTGCTGCTGAAAATTCTGTGAAGGTTGATTGAATGGATCATTCACGGGAGGATCTGATGAGGGATATTGCTCAAATGGAAAATCTGTTGCTAATGGTAGATGATGATGTTGATGAGGATGGTGTCTTCTTCCTCCTATTCGAATAAAGTCCATACCTTGTCCCATTGCTCTGGAAACACCCCCTAAAATGCTCCTGGGAAGGCTTACCATTCTACGAACAATTCCATTGCAGGATGATTCAATTGATGATCTTGAATTTCCTCTCATCATTGATGACATTATTACTACTGCTACACAAAATTTCAGTGATGGAGAAGAGTTGTCTTCTAAGATTTGGCAAGAATATAAGGTGAAAAGCAGGCTGTAGCGTAAGAATCCTATGTTATGTTGTAATCAAGCAGATGCCAAAGAGACCTGCAATTTTGTCAAAAATTGCTACTGTTATAATCAACTCAACTTTGGAATTTTTAGCTTTTTCAACTTTATTCAGAGCAGTTCAAGGATATTGAACAAGATTGTCTCCTGGTCTACTTTTTCCTTGTCTGCTGCTTGTACGTAGTGATAGAGTTCAGATAACATGCCTTGGCCCAAGGTTCCATCCTAGAGTAATGTGAGAAGGGAACAAAAGATCATTGGGATAAGAGTCAAAATGGTAATTATGGTATTTTTATTTTTAGGATTGTGAGGTGATATTGGGCATTCTTCTATTTGTTAATGGCACTTTGTTACTTTTATAACATCATAATAAAACCTCTCATTTATGTGATATCTAATGAAAAATTTGGCAAAGGGAATGATAAGAATGTACAAATTAAGCACATAAATGAAAAGCAAAAAGGTGAAAGAGCCATACAATATCTTTATCACTAGTGTGACTTTCGGGCTTATTGTCTGATCTTAATTCTTGAGTTCATTTTGTTCAAAAAATAAAAATCTTAAGTTTATGAAATATATTGATTGACAATTATAATTATTTTGACTTATTTCTTCATCTTTCCTTTTTTCCCCATTTCCCCCCTTTTGGAGCTTGAAGGTAGACACCTCTTTCCATTGCTTTAACCCAAAAAATCTAGCTAAATTTAAGTGGTTTTTAAAAAGAGAGATTTTATCGTTGATATGTCATGGATAACTCTCAATTTTGTTTCCATCTTGTAGACTAGAACAAACTATGGAGTTCTTGGCTTCTTGCCCTTTCCTTTGTTTTGGGGGGGGGGGGGGTTTCTCCTTTTTCTTGTTTCTTTTCCATTTTGCAGCTATGTATTATGAAAATTTTAAGACAGTAAAATATTGGGAGAGCCCTATCTCAAGTGGTGACTACTTGTGGAACTGGAAGGCGTGGTGCTAGCTAGTAGAGGAGAAATGCCTCTGATGGGCTTTTGGATAACAGAAGGCGTGGTGATGTTCTCATATAAAAAGACCACGCCTGTTGAAATTGCTTGACTGGGAATCGGTAATACAACAGATTCTGGAACCAAGGCAAACTCTTCAAAAATGTTCCAGCAGAGATGAAACGACATCACCCACTTTGACAAATAATAAGGCATTTTGTTTTTTTTTTAAAATTAATTCTTGGTTAATCTATTATATAGGCATGAGGGCGTTTGTTCCAATCATAAACTTTATCTATCTTAAGAATAGATTGTTTAGAATTATAAAAAAAAAAAACCAGCTGATGATATACAAATTATCTCTCTGGTAAGTTGTTTTAGCTTTTTTCTTTTTTCTAGAAATTTATCGTTCAGTTTAGCATGGAATAATTGTTTTCTTAAATTTAGAACTATATGAAATATAATTCGAATCTTAACTAGTACAACTTTTACATCATAATGTCTCATA